CGTCTTGGTAGAGCAGAGGCTCCCGGCGCACCCAGCGCTGTTTGCTTGCTTTTATTCGTTTAATAAACTGTTAATTTTGATTGAAACCCTATCTGGGACTCGGTCATTTATCACACCAGGGTAAACCTGGGACGCGGAATGGGGGAGGGAGAACGAGGCCGCCTGGGTGTGAGCTGGGCCCCAAACACGGGCGTTCGTCATTGCTGCCACTAAATACCCACCTGCCTGGAGCCAGCAAGACAAATAATCCATTTTGTGATGAACTCTTCAGAGACCAGAGACAGGAGAACGCAGTAAGGGAAAAGAATGAGGCTCAGTGAGTGAGGAAAGGACAATGACATTCGTGTTTTCCTATCGGTCTTTCAAGTAGAAAAGCCTATGAACAACTCCTCACTTATATTCTGTCCTTTAAGTCATTCATCAAGAAAAAGCTCCTGTTGCCTGTCTTAAGAGAACCACATTTTCGCTCAGAACGAGCTGTTGTTCTGTTTTTTCTGTCTGAATTAGTTCTTCATCCGCATTATGCACTCATCCCAGGACTGTGCTGACCTGCACAGTCTCTTACATAAAACCTTCTTCAAGGCCTTTAAACAAGTATAAATTAAAAAGTTACGTTGAGTGGCTTACATGTTTTGGTAACTTTTCCAAATTTTTTTTGTTTTGGTTAGGCAGGGTTGTAGCTTAATAACAATTTTGTTAGCTTAATAAATACAGAGCAATGTAATTGCATGAGAGCGGAGAATCACACTTACTGCATATCTGTATTTTAAAATTCGTAATTTGAAGAGGGAAACCAATCCACAAGACGTGTTATTGTTGGTTTAGCAAAGGGAACCCTAGTTTAGCAAAAAATTCAGAAGCCAGAGGAAGTGAAATGTCCCGTGTTCACCTTCAAGAAGGTTCTTCGCCACGTTTGTGAGCTGCGCAGAATCCTGCACGGAGGCAGCCGCGCCTGTAGCTGCAGACGCGTCAGGAGGACTCTGCAGGACTTACACAAGGTCCTGTTCAATTAAGTAACAAAATTACAAGAATCATCAAATTGCAGAACAACTTTTTTTCCCTGCAGTGATCTTATGCTGGCTGGTACCTACCATTTACATAGTTTATGTGGACTGAGCAATAAGCTGGAGTTATTTTTAAGAAGTTATTTAAAATTATGATATACCCATAGGTCGACCAAAAAAAACCCAGTAATTTTTTAAAACTAGCCCAATATGATTTTGCTAAAACCAAAATGAAAGTAAAAGTGAGTTAAGGCTGCTGCTTTTTTTCCTTTTCTTCTGTGTCACTTTGATTTCCTTGCGGCCTGAGAAGGCGGCAGGCGAACACTGTCAGGTTTGTTAAGCCTGGCCATCAGTCCCTACAAAAGCTGTGACTAATTAGGGAGAAGAGACTTAAAAATCAATGTTACATCTCTGGCATATGTCATTATTTACTTCACTTCCACCACAGCCCATTAGCATCAATGACCTGAAAAGGTAAAGTGGATAGAAAGGGGGCAAAAAATAAAAAAACCTTTCTCTGTTTCTCTTTCTCCCCTGTTTCTCTCTCTGCCTTTTCCTTTTCCATGCTTTTCCCATGCCACCTCCTGGCGCTGCCTCCTGCCCTGGGCCTGGAAGAGGGGCAGGGCTGTTTGCTGGGGTGGGCTTTCACTCTGTTCCCGTCCAGCTGAGAAGCACAGAAACCATTTTGCAGTCTGGGGCGGGGGAGAAAAGAGAAAAAAAAAAGGAAAAAAAAAAATAAAAGTAAGAGATGCTGACAGTGCGACAGCGCTCAGCGGCACGGTCCGCTGGCATCCCAGCCTCGCATCCTTCCCACTGCAGGGGCCAGGTACCCAGCTTTTGGTGCTGCCATTGGGACCCCATGAATCCCACCCCTGCAGGGCTGTCCTGGCAGGGAGGGCAGGGCAGAAAACGTCCCCATGCAGCGCCGGGACAGCCCCACGGCTCTTCCCTCCTTCCGAAACACACCAAGGAGGGGAGGCGAGCAGGCCGGTGGCAGCACAGGGCTGCCCAGCAAACGTCCTCCCCAGGGCACTGCCTGCCCTCACGGCACCATCACGGCCATGACCCTGGGGGCTGCACCCGGCGGGGCAGCTCTCGCCTTTCCTGCCCCATGGGCCCCCACTTGAGGGCCAGGGCGTGGGCTGGCTCCTGCCCAGACTTCCTCACTGGGAAAGAAATGGGAAGAGAAAAGCAAACCTCACCGCTAAAAGGCAGCCACTGCCCCTTCCCCACCAGTCCCCCTCCCAAAGCTCAACATCTGAACAGTGGCCATGGGGACACTGGTGCTGGGGGTGACAACCTGGTGGCAGTGGCTGCCTGGGCAGCGCTGGGCTCCCTCAGCTCAGTCACACCCCAGAGGATGCCTCCCCCCCCCAAAGCATAAATCAGCAACAGCTGTGGTTCCCCACCGACCCCCAAGCCAGCCAACTCCCGTGGGGCTGGAGGTGGCTCACTGAACCACTCGAGTAAAGCCACCCATCCAGGGAGGGAGGGCTCAGGGACCAGCGGGTGCTGGTAGGGGGCAGAGGGAGGGGTGCCAGGGGCTGCCATGCCCCGGGCAAGGCCCCGCAGAGGGGAACAGAGCACAACTGCTGTGGAGGAGCAGCCCGAGGCCAGGCTCACTCTTTGCACTGTCTCCGTTCTGCATAAGCCACTTAAGTCAGGAGGTTGCAAAAGGGAAAAAAGCCTTTGTGACAAGCTCCTGGTTTAAATCCTTTCTCAAGGGAAGGACAACCCAGAGCTAGTCAGAGGGAAAGGAGAGGCCTTGGGCTCCCCTGGGTCAGCCCAACATGGTGACAGGGTCACGCACCTCCAGCATCGCCACCTCTCCCCTTGCTCCAAGTTTCATCGGCTCCTGCAGACCCCAGCCCACGCAGGACCATCGGCCAAGAGGAGACAGCGTGGCAGGACAAGCCTTTATGTTGTAGAGACAAATCATACAGTGGCAATGGAAGCTCTCTGAGCTGCAGAGACATTAACTTCAGTTCCTTGATGCTCAGCACTGCTTTGCCTTGCCTTGACGTCTTGGCGGCTGCCTTGAAACACATCTGCTCCCTGAGAGGCAGCAAGAACCATCCGCCCCCACCACCACCCACCAGGCTCCTGGGCTCTGAAGTTTGGAATTTAAACCAACTAAGCTAAGGCTGAGGCTCAGAAACGTCAGCTTCACGCTGTTACCATCAGAGGTCACGATAAATAAATTTAAAAAAAAAAAAAAAAAAAAAAAACCCACAGGCGGCACCATGGCAGCTCCCCCGCAGCCGTCCCCCCAGCACCGCCTGGACCCCAGGGCAGCTCCCTCCCTCGCCGCTGCTCCCCGACCAGGTCCGCAGCAGGCTGGAAGAGGGGGAGAACCCGTTCAGTTTTTCTGAGTGAAGGCCGTGCAGGGCTGAGGGAGGTCAAGCCCAGCCGCCCACCCTGGTGCAGGGGTGTTTCGGGGGGCTGGCAAGAGACAGGGCGGCCCAAAGCAGCTGCTTCTGGCAGCATCCATCCCCCCAGCACCTTCCTCCCAAGGAGGTGCATCGCGCCCCGAAATGAGCCCATCCCGCCCACAGCTGCCTGGTGCCTGCCCCTGTGCCCCTCAGCCAGGCTGGGAAGCAACAGGTCTGTGCACACCGGCCAGGAGATGCCACTGAACCCCGGTGGCTTTGGGCGAGACCTTAAACAAACATATGGGGAAGCCGGTTTTATGCACTAGAGATTTTCTTACATTTCCTGATGAACGCCCACATGAAACTCATGAACTTTACCATTTTGAAGCCCACTGCTCCAAAATTTGGTACTCTACTGAGCTACATCCACAGGTGGGCAAAGCAAGACAAGTCAGGCTGATGCCCTGGGGCTCGACGAAGTGGGTGCTGACCCCAAGGTGCTCCACTTGCACCCACAGTTCATCTTCCGGGACTAAGGGAGGCCACCTCGGGTGTTGGGACAAGCCCCCAAGGCTCAGACATGGCCCCCAGGGCTCCTCTCTTTGGGGAAACCATCCATGGAACGGGGCTGACACCTTCTCCACCTGGCCAGGCCTCTCTGAGTGCTGCTGCCAGAGGACCAAAAGCCCATCCGCTGCCCCTGCGGTGATGCCAGCCACTTGAAGGAAGGCATTTCCCTTCTCCGCATGGCTCCACAGACGGCTACAGCAATGACCCTTTGCATTCGTCTAACACTGTCAGGTCTAGGCAAAACTCAAGGAATGCTGTCATACCACATGCGCACAAGTAAAGGCTTAATGAGTTTCCTATCACTCCAAAATAGTTTCAAATTTGAAAAGGGAATTTCTAAACTTTTCTTTGAAGACCCCTGCTACAGCCCATGCTCCCGGGTGAAGCGGAGCAACAGCAGCCCCTAACGGGCAGAGAGCCGGAGGCCTGGGCTGCCCGGCAGCCCTGCTCCTTTTAAGTGCCATGGTTGTTCATACTCGCTTTTAATAACTACCTACCAGTCAGGTAATTAAGCTTCAGTAAACAGTGATTTTCAAATAGTATCCATGTGTCAAAAGTCACCTCCCTCCCCTTTTTTTTTTCTCTTCCAAAATAATAGTATGTGCTGAGCACTCTGCAACTAGGAAGTCTCATGGTAAAACACCCTCCCACCTTGTAATTACAGGAAAGTTTGCAAGGAAAAAAAAAAACAACAAAACCAAAACATTAAACTCCCTGTTTTTACAGTTGTTAGAGCTAAACCCAGGAAAGGATGAGAACACCTAAGCTCTGCAAGGGCTCAGAAGTAGCTGGTGCAGAGCAATCAGTCCTGGTGGAAGGAAAAGAAGAAAAAAAATCATCAATATTCAGTGTCTGCAGTGCCAGTAAAACTGGCACAGGTGGCAGGGGCACAGGCAGGTGGAGGCTCCTGCTGAGAGGACTCCGGTGGCCTTGGCCCAGAGAGGAGCAGGGATCATCCTTCCTGGGGGAGGTCAGAAAGCCACCAGCGTGTCTGGCTTTCTGTTTTTTACACCTCAAGTTGCTGCTCCTGGGACTCTGAACATTTCTATTGATACCCACAGAACAAAAAAAGAAAACAACCAACTCACAGTAAGATTTTGCCTGAATTCTGGTATGTCGAAGCCAGGGAGAGGCTCACGTTCGCAGACCGTGCCTCCAGCTCTCTCCTGCAGAAAGCACGCTGCACCACCCAGCTTTCAAGGTTTCTGCTCTAATGAATTTATGGACCAGCTCTCAGAAAGGTCTTCTGGAAGGCAGGAAAAGGTGACGCCACCTTGCTCCTGGGCCAGCAGCAACCAGAAACGCTTTGGAAAGGACACTAAGCCATGGCAAACAGAAAAGATGAAGCATTTCATGTCATCTTAACTAAGCCAGCTGACATGCATGCCAGTGCTGTAATGTGGCCTGCACGGGCAGGCGGACAGACCTACAATGCCAAACCTTTGCCAGGGCACCAAAGGCAGCAGGCAGAGTCCCTTAGGGCTTCTTGAAGCATTAACTTCTATACATTAACTATTATGCAGGCAAGGACATTTTCTCTAAGCAACTGACAAGGCCAAATACTAGACACGATTTGCATTAACTGAGTGTTGGTAGGAAAAAAAGTGTCTCTACCAGAAGTAACTTTGCAACTAAGCACCAACCCGAGTAGGCAATGTGTGTAGTAGATGTATCCTCCCACGCCCCTGCCTTCTGGGGTGCCTTTTAAAAACAGAGATCTTTGCAAGTATCCCCAAACAACCTGTTCTCATTTCCCATCTTCCCAGAAAAAAGCTGCAGTGCTTGGTTACCTCCAAAGAGAGAGAGCAGGGAGTTTTAGTATCATCAATGCCACCAGAGATGTGACCAAGTTGTTTGCATCCCTCCTGCTTCAATGTTACTGCACCAGTACCAAGTTATGCAAGACATCCTCCGTGCTGGATCTTCGCAAAGAACCTGACAGCAGAACAAGGCAACAGCTGCCTCCCCGACCTTGGCTTGGTCTGTACAGTTAATCACAGTTGCATTTACACCAAATGTGTATCTGCCTCTGATTGTTCCTAAGCAACTATGCTGACAGCTTAGGGCTCAGTTTGTCAAATTGGTCCCTGAAAAGCTTAAGAGGATCTTGGGCAGGGCAAGGCAGAGGAGGGAGAGTCCTTGCCCAGCTCCGTGTAGGACTGACTTCACCGGCACGTCTCCCTGTCCCGCCACGGACCACCCCATGGACACAAGCAGCCACCTGGGGCAGAGCCAGCAGCTGCAGAGAAAGGCCGGGCACTGCACCCACAGTGCAGGTCCCCACCAGGGTGCTTTTGAGGTGGAAATAGCTGGATTTTCTTTCAAATTACTCATCTATTTCTAGGATGAGAATTTCAGGGGAGTGAAGAGCAGCTGGGGTTTGCTTTTTTAAAGAAAGCTTGCTACATCGGCTAACCCAACCCCTCTCCTGCTACAGACACACATGCATTTCTTCCTCACCTCCCCACCAGCGAGAACCCCAAAACATCTGCTAGAAAAGCTGGGGCAGAAAATGAAAAGAGCCTGAAGTAGGGCAATTTCCATTCATACACCCACTTCACTCTCTTCTCGTGGTCTGTCCCGCACTAGGCACCAATGCACACCCCAGAGAAGGTGGTAAGACAGAGCAATGGGCAGCATGAAGATGGTAGCCACAACGTACAGTAGGATCCATCACAGCCCAACTTCCCCTGTCACGCTGTTCACCTACACCCAACACAGCACCTCCCACATGACTCAAGAGCACAATGCTGTCTTCTAGACGAGTGATATTATGTATTATGTGAATTTACTCCTTAGGTCAGCTCATGATCAACTCTTCCCCCCCCAGAATTCTCTCTCGCAACTGTGGCTTTTGATCACGTCTTCAGTTTTTACCCTGCTAGCTTGCTCTTGCTGTCTCCTCCACAGACCAGGTAGCTGCCCTGCACGGCCTCCCCGGCCCACCGAAACATCTCGTCCCCTCTGCTGCTGTACTACAAAGCAAGCAAGTGCCCTTACCAAACTCCTGGGCTGGCTACATCCTTGCTTTTTTCTTTCTCTAATCAGAAATCTTTTGCAAAATACATCCAGAAACACAGTAGTGAAGTGCGTCATCTTAACTCAGACATTTTACAGTGACTCCTTGTCAACGCCGTGTGAATTCCGGCTTGCAGGCGACAGGGCTGAAGGTGGTCTGTCCTCTTAAAAACCCAGCTCAGCATTTCCTCTAGAGCCCTAAAAGCAACAGAATTACTTGAGAAATACCTGCTCCCATCCCCTCCCCACCTCTTGGGGCTGGCACCAGCTTTCCATGACACTGGGGTGCAGCTCCAGGGACCCGGGGGACACCCACATGCAGGCACAGCATTCCAGGTCTCGGAAGAAGTCAAGGCAACCGCGCCCCTGCTAACACAACCTAAAGCCCATGAGAGCATGGTAGCAGCAAAGCAAAACTCAAACCATGCCAGATGGAAGTGGGAAAGACTTTTTGCCCCGGAAAGACAGCTGAGGGGGGCAGGGGAGTCAGAGTAGTCTGCAAATGGCATGCTACAAACGTACCTTATGAAGGTTAAAAATTTCCTCCCCATGTATTCTCTCTCTTCAACATCTTGTAAGAGCCAAAGATAAAAATATGTAATTTGACCATCTTTTCTGATGGCGCAATGGGTATTTTTCATCTACTATCCCCCTTTCAGAAAACACTCATCGCATCAGGGTTTCCGTTTCCCTTGAGACACCCATTCCTTTCATTTTTCCGTACTACGCTCACTTTTACACAATGTAAACAAACATGTGACAAAAAAAAGTCACTGCAACAAACTGCTATTTTCTCTGGAACTCCCTTGCACACGCTGGTTGAACTAATGACAACACGTGGCACAAGGGCACGCAGTGCGAGCTGTAACAGCCAAACCCTCTGTGGAGAGAAAGCAAACAGCACAGCAGCACACACGCAGCTGATCCTGTGTTCACTCCACAATGTAGCATCTCACATCTGGAAGTCGATCCCAAACTTTCTTCCATCAGCAACCAGCCGCCACACAAGCTTTGCTCTGACAGAAGACCACAAATACGCCACACAAGGATTTAAGACACACTGAGCTGCTTGGCTCTTTTATGTGAGAATAGAAAACAACATTTAAGTTCTGGTACAGAAAGTCAACAGAGATCAGTATCTCCCACCAGCACAGTCTGTTCCAGGCAGCTAAGAAAGAAGTGTTAGGACAAAGCCCAAAGCAGAACCAGTCCGAGCAGAAGTAGGGGAGAAACCTCAGAGGGAAATGCCCAAGAGAAATAGGAACCAAAAATTTACAGCTTTTGATTTTCTTGCTCATTGAGGACAAGAGTTTCTCAAGTTGCTGGAGTTCTAATCAGTGTTAAAACAAAACAAAACAAAACCACACGAAAGAGAAAACCGCAAACCTGGCCGTCAACCCCAAAGACCTGGCTTCCTCAAACTTCCGTTTCTCAACCATCGAACTGAACAAAGGTCTTTCCTCATTTCCCACATTTATTTACTATTTCATATAATATCTCAGCTTAGGAAGCCCTTTGCTTTGCATAGCAAATCAGCTACATTATTTACACTGTGCTCATCACCAAGATCCAGGTGTTCTATCAAGTACATTAACAGAAGTCAGCAAAATCTGACAACGCCACAGAGATTTTTATTTTTCCATAATTAGTCCTCTCAATTATAATATTCATTCCATGGTGAGTAAGGCCAGGGTCAGCATTATCTCCTAATATATTATTAAATCAGTTTTTTTGAGAAGGAATCATATTATTAATTTTTTACCCTGGTGGAATAACTGTTTAACCACAGGTGTGTGCCAGTAGTTCGGCAGTAAGAGCATGTTTAGTTTCTCAAAGCACCATCTGCATTAATAACATTCATTCTCAGTAGCATATTTACAATATAAAACTGATATTGCTCTCTTCATTTATTTTACAAAAACCTTCATGGACAATAAGGATTAATTCTGCAGATCCTTCTCATCTGCCTGCAGCAAAATGAATCAGATTCCCTGAAGTCACCTACTACCAACTCCACCACTCCCTGCCTGGGCTAGCAGACATCCCAGCTGCCCCAAATTCCGCATTTCTGCAATATTTTGCTGAACCAAAGCAAGGCAGCTTCTTGCTCTTTTTCCTCCCCATCTCCAGGATTTACATACATGGCAGGGGTACAACAAAGGTTCCATCAAAGCAATTTCTTTGCCAAGAAAGAGGCGTATGAAGATTTCCTGATCTTTTGCTAGGGAGTCTTGCCTTTTATCAAAACTACAGTCAAATGCCTTATTTAAAAGGCTTCTTATTCCAAGTCAAAAAAACTGTGCACACTGGAGCCCATGCTCTCAGAGCCCTTGGGCACTTCCCACATCAACTTCAGAAGCGATATTCTCACTGTTGGCAAAGCGGCTGTGGAAAAACACAGAGGAACTCTTCTGCTCCGTGTTAAATTTCTTCCACTAAGGAATGGTGGGACTACAGAAAGGCAGCGGCTATGACCAACATTATGGCTTGGGCTCCACCTTACTCCCTGAGTTCTCTCTTGTCTCCCTCTTCTTCAGGATTTTCTAGGATCGCTCCCCACCTGTAAGAACAGCATCTTAGCCGCCAGCCCCACCGTTACAAAAGAACAAGAAAACCCAAACGCCAGTTTGTACACTGAAGAGAAATCGCAGCTCTGTTACTGTCCCTCTTTGCCTGCTGCCCAGCCCTTCCGCACATCCCACTTGTACTCTTCTCCTTGGAGCCCGCTAACCCAGGCACAGATCACCAGGATGCTTCAGTGGTCAACGGCAGTCATCCCAAAGACATTCAGCTCGACCATGAAGACTGCATTGGCAGCAACGCTCCTTTAATCTCCAGAAGTTGGTCCACCTCACTGGTCTGACAACCTCCTATGACTCCATGTGCACTTAGAAAGACAAAAAAAATTACACAAGTTGTTTTCTTGGTTGGTTGGGGTTTTTTTTTGTAAAGGCTTCGCTTTTTGCTGCCCATCAGCACTGCCTCAGCATATTGCACAATGTTTTCTTTATTATAAAAAAAACAAAAACAAAAACGTCTTCTGTATCAGGCAGAAAGAAAGTTTTCTCAGGAGGCTAATGCGTACTATTGTCTGTAATTAGAGGTAAGTGGTTGTTTGTGTGGCCATCAGGAAGTGGGACCTAGTCAAACAAAAACAAAGTGTTATGAATGACTTGTCCAGAAACAGAATCTCTTCTTCCTCCCCCAAAACACACACTTCATTCTTGGGCATCTTGTATGCCCTTTGCCTGGTCTCCCAAACAAAAATTATGCTAATCTGCTTGCCTTCCCTCCTTTACCCCCACTCACATAAACTTGCCTTCTGGCAAACTTCAACCAAATCTGGGAGAAAGGCAAAAGTCTTAAGGGCTACCTACAGGCTTAAATGGGAAAAATAAAAGAAAAATAAAAATCAAGTAGTTGCTAGAGGAGCAATCCTACTGATGTCCAATGAAGGGAAAGGTAAAGACTGCTCAGCTCTTTCATACTGCTTGGCAGTAGCCTGCAGGCTAATCAGTAGCAACACTGAGCCCCTGCAGCATGCAGTGCCTCTTCTTCGGTCAGCAGGCCAAGCAGAAGAATAATCTGCGAGACAGACTGTTGAGGCCTGGAAACACGCGTAATTTTTGTAGCAATGTGAAAATAAAAATAATATAGTAAGGACAATGGAGGGAATGTAGGAGAGAAATCTCCAAGAGACCCCGTTTCATTAATTCAGCTTCTTAGAAAGCACCTTGCTTCCTTACATGTTAGGTTTTCCAACTATTTTAAAAGCTGTTGAATCTCTGCTCATATATATGTCAAGGGGAGGGTATACTGCAAGCATCTTAAATTCTGCTGGGACTGAGTCCCAAAGTTGTCCTTATCATCCATCCTCAGGTAGCTGTACCACTCATTTAATGTTTTCAGAGAAAGTTTTTCTTACTGATGTGGATCTGTAAGAGCCCAGTCTGAAACGGCAAAAAATAACTTCTGCTACAAATCTTCCAAAGCCATGTAAAATTCCTGCAATGTCAAACAAGATTTAATATTGTCACAAGTAGTAAAACTGTACTATTTATAAAAGTATTACAACAAAACTCTAAACGACACTTAAACGGGACACAGTTCAGTAAACCAGTGTGCAAAACACTGAGAAATTAACATAAAAAAGGAAACATCAAGGGTGGGGGGAATTCTAACATTCTGAAACACATCAGTAAAAGCAAAAGCAAAGCTATACAAGCAGATATAATTCCCTCTGCCTGGCTTTCATGGGTGAAAATACATTCTGTAGGACAGAAATACCTACTTTGAAAGAGAGCTCTTAGTTCAAGGTCTCTTTACCATGCTCACTTCAAGTGAAAGCCAAGAAAAGAAATGTAATCAAGATACCCTATTATGTCTTGACTAATAAGTGAATTGTGCCTTTCCAAATTAGTTTATTTTCTTTGAAGGAGCAAATCTTACAGTACATTGACAAGTTACACAAGGAAAATCCTCCCAATTACTTCAGATGGACATTTTATCTCAACTCCTAGCACTGATTTGGCACTGGATTCCAACTATAGGAAATACACAGAATATCAAAAGTCTGTGTGTGTGTGTGTGTATATCTAGCTATATCTCTCCTTACTCTTTCAGAAATAAATAAACTATGCTATAGTTACCAAAAAGGAAACAACAGGCCCTCAGAACAGCAGAAACAGCACACTGGGACACCAAAAATGAGTAGCTTTCATTGCACATTTCAGTGCACACAAATGGGCATTTCATCTTAAACCTGGTAAAGGTTCAGGACGCCACTCTACTTTATCCATAACAATCACCATGACCAAAAAAAAAAATATTCTGGTAGAACTTAAGAGGGAAAGCACCGATACTTACCTGTAGTTGAAAAAATTCCCCCAATAATGCCACAGAGCCTCACCAAGAACTGCCAAAAAGGCATGTGTTCTTCTGTCACTGTCACCATAAGTGAACTGATATCATATTTCATGAATATTCCTGACACCCCATGGCTGCCAGCTGCATGGTTAATTACTCTTTCCTGAAAGAAGAGAGAGAAACACAAGTTGGTCACTTCTTATTAGCCACAAGGAAAACAATCTTACTAGATGTGATGACAAAGACCTACGTAATCAGAGTTAGCAATCAACAGAAGACCAGAGAACATCAAGATAACTTTGACCAGTACCTTCTAAAAGGCAATCATCATTAAACAACAATTTACTTTCCTGGTCACTGGTCTTCTGCGCTGCATACCAATGTTCACGATCAGGCTCTGGTACTATCCTCTCAAGATTTGCTTACATGGTCCTTTAAACAAGGATGTTTTTAACTAGGTTGCTTTTGGCACCTATGACGAAAAGCGCCACAGTCTTGGTCTAGCCTGTGAACTCAAGTGAGTGCACTGATCTAATACAGTGCCTCAACTCTTCCTACTTTACGCGCTGCTATTAATCATTTAAATCAGGATGAGACCTTCAGGAGACATTTAAGCTGTTGAACAGCCTTGGCTATGGCAGTTTTCCCAGAGGGTATATATAAATCTACATACTGCACGGAAGACTCATTAGGCTTCATCCTCCTTCTTCCTTGGAGCATATGTCTAGATTCACATGCCACAGCAGATTTAATTGCTGGTTCTTAAAAGTGTCAGGGAAGACCCTAAACTAGAGCATACCATAATGGAAATTCAGAAGCTTAAGTTAAATTAGACCAATGCCATTTTTTCCCCTCAGTGCATACTTACACATAAGCCATAAATCATTATTTTGATTTTAAAAAAAAAAAAAAAAAAGGGAAAAAGATCAAAATTTCTGGGGTCTGAAAACTGAATACCAGTATCAAGCCTCTATTCAAAATTTCTGTCAGCCAGGTCATTTCAGACAACAGTCAGACAGCAAGAAATACACCTTGATAAAAATAATCACTAACTCACCATGACTACTCTACACAGATCAGATGCCTCAGTCCTAATGTAAGAACTTCTACAGTTTCTTCTCATTTGTCCAAATTCTTAAACCAAAAAGACCCCAAAGAGGAGAGTGTGGCTCTGATTTTTTAAAAAAGGTTTCAGGAGAAAAAAACCTCAGCACTACCTTAAGTTTCTTTCAAAAGTTTGCTATCGTTTTGTTGTTAGTGAAAGGTGTTGATAAATGCACTGCCAAGTAAGTCTGGCTGAAAATACACAAGGGCAGCAGAAAAGAACATAATTGACTGAAGACAAACTCAGCCATGTCCACGCTAACAAGAGCAGAGAAGACAGACAAGCAAGACTGAACAGAAAAGCAATATATCACCACTCCATTTCACCTGTAGATTTAACAATCTGTGCTCAAAACCCATGCACAGTACAGCACAAAAAACCCAGACCACCACTTTGGAAAATAGAGGCTAAGCAACTTCTCCAGTCAGCTAACCTTGACATAAACCATATTGTTTATTTTTCTATCAAAGTAAACAGGATGCCAAAAAAATGTATCAGTTGTGATAACAGGTCACAGAAACTTTGCAATGGTTAAAAAAACAACAACAAAAAACCCCCAGAAGAGTACAGAATGCTTTCTGTATTTCAAAAGCGTACAAACATTCAGCATTAGACGATGGATGACCAGGCATACTAAGAAGGAGGAGAAGACTGAAGGTAGTTAAACACAACCTCACCGTCGGCAAGGGACAAAAAAAATGTTTTTGTTTGTTTGTTTTTCATATATTATTTCCCTAAGCCTTATTGTCTTTTGAGGTCAAATGGTGAAAAAATAACATGAAGTTAAACAGAACACCCAAAACTCCACCCTCAAAAGATCATAGAATCATAGAATGTTTTGGGTTGGAAGGGACCCCTAGAGGTCATCTAGTCCAACCCCCCTGCAGGAGCAGGGACACCCCTAACCAGATCAGGTTGCTCAGAGCCCCAGCCAACCTGGCCTTGAATGCTTCCAGGGATGGGGCCCCACCACCTCTCTGGGTAACCTGTTCCAGTGTTTCACCACCCTCACTGTAAAGAATTTCTTCCTTATATCTAGTCTAAACCTACCCTGGTTTAGTTTAAAACCATTACCCCTTGTCTTGTCACAGCTGGCCCTACTAAAAAGATTTTCCCCATCTTTCCTATAGGCCCCCTTTAGGTATTGAAAGGCCGTAATCAGGTCTCCCCGCAGCCTTCTCTTCTCCAGGCTGAACAAGCCCAACCCCCTCAGCCTGTCCTCATAGCAGAGGTGCTCCAGCCCTCGGATCACGATTCTTTTTCCAGAAACCATTTTGTTCAGCTTCTAGCATCTACTGCTGCAGAAGGTTTAACGGCTGGTTGCTAAAACCTAGTGAAAATAACTAGCCCTGCATCAGATATCAGTGAAGCCTTGCTAGAATTATTTTTTTTTTTAACATAGATAAAAACAGTGTCTCAAACATCAACAATAGTGGAGATGATTCTGTTCACACCTTTCAAACTCTGTTTCCTGGTCTGTTCACCAGGATACGTCTGTTTACATATCCAAGTTTTAGCCATGGCTAGCTGACCACCTTTTTCCAGGTCTGCATATGTGCCTACTCTTATAAAATAAATGCACTAAGTTATTCAGTGTTAACTGTTCTTAATAGCCTTTCCCAGCTCATCTGCTAGGGGTGTTTGGTGTCCAAAGAGAAACACGAACAAGCTTTACAGGCAAGCAGGCTACCTAGTGAGAGCAAGCAAGCGTGCGATGCCACTTCACCTCCACTATTCACCAGCTTTTCTCCTAAGCAACTGTGTTGCAACTTTCTTAAAAAATACATCCCCACAAAAACATTAAAGAGCTAAGACTAACCAGTTAATTGACAGAAACCATCTTTACAGCAGAAGGAGAGAAAAATTTAATACAAGATAAAAAAATGCCGTAAGGAGTAAGATAAGTAGTTGACTCATGTCCAGAAGTTTAAGGAGTGCCTTAGTTATGGCAGAGATTGTGCAGAGAAAACATGAAGCACATTGCTAGACCAGCAGGAGATGGGAGTATATTGCATTATGAAATTCCTCTTCGTTCCTCTCTTTACTCCAGCTTTCACGAGTTTTAGAGCAAACCTTTCCCTTCAGCAGTCTGCATGTCCCAAGTTAAACCTGAAGGCATCACCTCTATCCCATTTCCCCTAGCTATGTATTTTTCAGAAGCACAACATGGAATTGTGAGGAAATAAAGATTTTTCTCCCTTGGAGAACACCACGAACTGTATTACAGTGAACTGCAGCCTAATCTCTGAACTTCCTTTCAACCCAAGGCTTCCTTCTTACCTCTTCCTTTATCTGTCATTTTTAATTAAACTCTTCACACAGATTTTTTTCTTTGGCTTTTGAATAAAAGATCAAAACAGAGTTCAGTGTCTGGAAATGAGACATGTAGCTGGTACACATAAGGCCTTTTTCTTTACAGCAGTCTTTAAAATTAGTACCTTACGATTTGCCCATGTACTACGCTGCAGTAACTACATTCTTTATGGATTCAGAACTAAAAGCCCAGAAGTGGAAGCTCCCTAGTCGGAGAATAATTGAAGTTGGTGGTTCAAAAAATGTGAAACAAGACAGCTGAGAGACAGAGATGCTTTCTGTGTGATTAGTTTTTCATACAAGCTACCTTTGTTTCCTTTTCTAACAGTCCACAACCAAGTTCACGACATTCAGGTGAGCTGTGTTTTTTTGGTTTGCTTACTACATGGATAAAAAGCTAAAAGTGGATTAAATATTTGTAAAGCTACACACAAGATTACAGACCTAGAACTTACAGGATTTCACCACCACCACTAGCATCTAGTGAAGTGGAAATGTCTGGATATCTCTCATTAATTCTAATATCAGACTCCAGATCTACGGATGCAAAACACTAATGCAGGAAGTTATCGTGTGTCACCAAGCATATATATTTTACCATCAGTATTACATTATTTACAGATAAATCTAGTGCACTGGAACATTCTACAAAGAGTCTCTTCACGCTAGAGGAGTTTTCAAAACCATGGTACAACTAAGTGTATGTTTTCACATTCAAACTTTTTTTAAGAACAATCACTGTTAGATTTTTCTCCGCATGGTTTTCTCTTACTTCTACTTACCCTTTCTGTCACCGAAAATTGATGAGTTTCTGCTGAAATTTTATACGTATGGAGTTTGGTTGGCACAACTGTGATAAAATATTGGAACATCTGGTTGTCTAGAAGAAAACAAATCTCACTGTTGAATTAAGTACAGAGTCAAAGACCATCTGAGAGATTCACAAATAAATCAAACAAGTAACATTTAGAACAGTTAATCAGCTAAACATTTACACTAGGGACATTCTTCAAGGCGTCCCTGCACTGCCAGAACTACTTCAGCACCATCAGCATGAACAAAGTTAGTTTCCATGGGCAAGGTCTATGTCATATTTGTACTCAGAGAAATTTACTTTTTACCCATGTAATGAAAAGATTCATTAAGGTTAGGTCACTCATAGCTTCAAATGAAATGCATAGATAGTGTTTTTCAGGACACCAGAACTGAACAGGTTTCACAGTCACATTTCGCATGATACCTGTATCCTGACAGTGGTTTGAATAGATTTTAGCCACCAAATTTCCTTTACAATGCTGGAAGCCCTTCTAAACTGGTTATGGTTTTTCTGTTGATTAGACAGACTTCCAGAGAATTCTTCTAGAGCAATCAGCATGCTTATGTATTTATGATTACTATGTCTTCATGCAATTCCCTAAGAGAATGAACACCAATAGACTGGAGCAATTTGTTTCAACTACCCTAAACCATTCTGGCTGGAACAGCCAACAGACTGACTGGCTTTGAGACAAGAGCAGCTTTAGAATGTTCTAGGGATCACTCTCACAGGGAACGCAAGTCAGAGGATGAGGCGTGGGCAGCACTGTAAAGAAGGTTACTATACTCCTTCATTTATGCATGAGGAAACAAAGTGATGCACAAACCCTTCCTGTAGTAGCCTCACAAAATACACCATGGAAACGACAAACAAAATATAGGAATAGAGTCCAAGACTCCTGATGCTATTTTTTTCTTTAAACCAAATTAAGATTTATTTTTCCCCATTATGACAACAATTATCTATGAATCCCCTCTGCAGCATTCTGCTGCAAAATTCTTTGCAATATGTTCAGACATACTGTAACTTCAACGTAACACAAATCTGGAAGAAACTGCACATTAACTTCAAGGAAAACAGTGAAGTGCAGTGATACTGATATTAAAAAGAAATCACCCATTTATGATGCCATGTAGGTAATAGAACAGTGCATTGCTTGCTACCAAATTTAGCAGGGCATGCTGTTTATAAATCACAACATTCATGAAACACAGTAATATTTTAAATGTAATTAGTGGAAAAATAGAGAAAACTATGCTTTTTTTAAACACACAACACTTACGATCTGATGCTATTTTTTCTGTTCCATCCAAAGGATTAATAATTCCAGGAATAAGCTCTCCAAATGACAAATGATCTATTCTATGAGAGAAGTTATAGGCTGAAAGACAATACAGAGGAATGAAACAACAATTTTTAAGTACGAGATCCTGTACTCTTCTCAGAGAAAAAGATGCATCCATTTCTCACATTGGAAAATGCATTAATTAGAATATTTCAAACACTGCTGTGCATTTCATTGGCTTTGTGCCTGTGACTATACCAATATATCTACATACGTGTTTCAAATAAAACTGAAATCCAAAATATTTCTTAAAGAAATTGAATTCATCTAGAAAAGAATTTCTAAACCAAATTGTAACTCTTATCTTAATCAACCCTGGAGCTGAAGAGAGTTAAAATTTCATAACAGGAAATTTCTAGTTGGCAAAATACTGAAGTTATTCTACAGTTCAGGTTCCTGTGTGTAATGGTATTAAAAGACTAAAATTTCATAAATGAAATGTACAGAGGAAGCATAAAGCAACTGCCAAGTTATTACATAGCTTGATTTTGCAAAGGTATTTAAGCTCTCTAATATTATACACTTGTGTTGACATGAATTCATGGGCAGACACTTGGAGGTTTAACTAGCACAAAGTTCATTTTTCACAGTAAGTCACCCTTGTCTCACAGTAAGTCCGGCAGCAAGGCACATTTAGTATCTAGACTCATAACCTAAAAATTAAGTTTCTAGGACAAAGGTCAGAAATTTTTAACCTTATAAAAACATATTTTGCAGGGGATAAGTAGTTTGGACTGAAATACAGGAATTTCATATGGTATCTGAGTCACAACAAAATACATCTGAGATTCCTGTGTTATCATTACTGTAGAAGCAACCTAAAGATAATACTAATACTGTTAAACATATGAAAGTAAGTCACTACTGAGCCGTAACATTGTGTAGAATATTCTTCTGCTAGAACGTCTTCACAACAGCAACCTACACTAGCATATGTATTGCTGAATAAAATTATACTTGTTCATATGGAGATGACAGAAAACTTACACTCGTGGCTTACAAGGGCTGCCAAGTGTGCATGGCCTCGAGGGTGTGGTATTGCCCTAAAGAAAGCAAGATTTGTTTTATGAAAAATTTGTTTAATTAATCCACACAAGAGACAATTTTCCTGAACAGGACTATGTAGAAAAATTACCTCTCCCCCTCTATTGCAATAAATACTTTATAGAGATATATAAAAAAATACATGTGCATGTTATACATATATACATTTAAATATATATAATACATATATAGGTTTTACAAACTTTCATATATATAAAAATTGCATGTATCTGTATTAAAAAACTATGACATTTTTATTACTGCCAAGTACAGACAGCCTGAATGACAAGGTACAGGAATACTACTCATGAAAACCCTCTTACACAAAACTAGCATCTTGCCTTTTGGGGAATCTCAAAACCACACCAAGTCACTAGGCTACTAGAAGAGCCACCAAGGCTTACCACATGAAAAGCTGCAGAGCTGCTCAAGTGCCTAACGAAAACTTCACCGTACTTGTTCTATGACTAAACTATGCTCTGTATTTGCTCCCTGGCTAAGCAAGTTAACTTTGGGTCTGGGTATTTGTTTGTAGTCCTGCAAAGAAAATACAATGCAGAGCCTGGTAACAGTGCAAAGAGGGAGGGAAAAAAGTGCAACTCTGTCTAGAAAGTAAAACAGTCTCTCAGCCACACTTGATCCCTACCAGTCCAGCCAATAATGCAGGAAACTGTCCCTACTTAGCTTAAGTTAAATCGTTACCAAATGCATGTAAGTTTTGGACAAACAGAAGGTGAAAAAAGACAATGAGGCCAGTTAAGATAGGACTACAATAAATAACCAGGCAATAAGGTACAAAGGCAGCCAGTGAGAAAAGACATAAAAAAAAAAAAAAAAACCCAAAAAAACCCCACACAATCTACAAGAAGAGAAAGAACAATTTAGCAGAAGTACAAACGTAATGATGAACAAAAGGAAGCAAAGGAAAGCAAAAGATTATTCAGGGTTGCAGAACCCGAGACAGGAAGAGAGAAGTGATGGCAATACAGCTGAAAGGCTGAAACGATCAGCTCTGAAAAGGGCTTAAGAAGTTGGACATCTAGGGGCAAATCAGAGAGGTGGCACAAGACCAGACAGAAGTGACACTTGGAGAAATAGCCACACAAAGACAGCAGCCGGAATTACACGTGGATAAATTAGAGAGTACAGACTGCATGCCACAATCTCTGGTGACACAGGTGGCAGGAAGACAAGTGAAGACAGCAGAGCTGGAGAGCACAGAGAACAGTTAACACAAGTTTGGATGCAGTTAATACCACTGCCAATGCATACCAGAAAGTCTCTCCTCAAATCAAGATGAGCTGGCATATAGCTCCCTAACTATGGTTCTATAACTACGTTATCTCAGCACTGAAATGGCACTATCTACGCTTCATCCACGTTAGTGAGCTGTGTACCAACAGAAAGAAGTTTGGACAGGCCCAGAGAATGGAGGCAAGTACAAGCAGTCCACTCCATGTCACACATTTAGGCAGGACCTATTTTCAAGAGTTTTCATCCTGTAAGACACTGGAATTCATAACAACTACATTGCATGCAACAAGGCACTGCGCTGTTTTAGTAACTTATGGAGAAATTTGTTTTTTAACTGTGCAAGAAAAAGATACCACATAGAAAATAATACCAAGCATGCATATGGAAAGGTTAATAAAAACCAGTTATTAACTCAAAAGTGTAAAAGCATACACACACATACATGCACTATATAAAATGTAGAAGTTTTCTGGTTTTGTGTTGTTTTGTTTTTTTTTTTTTTATTTTCAGGAATTGAACAGAACATACTTGCCCACAGTTATGTGAAAGTTCCCTGCCACTTTATTGACATAGAGATGACCGTGAATTCTGCATGCATCTGGAGACTGTAATGAGTTATCTTCCCTGTTCAAACACAGCAACACAAAGAGTACTTGAGAACATTCACTAACAGAAGTAACAGCAGTACAGTTAGATTTCTTCTTCCTAGCATAAAGATACAGCATTATCATCTACCTCTCCTTAGCGTATTCTTCTGAATTACAGTAGGGGTGGCGGAAGGGGAAGAATCTAATAAAGGTCAGTCTGATGAAACCAATAAGCTTTCATTCATACTTGCATTCGGAGATCTGGCCTACAAAGCTAACTTATGATATCTGAATATGTGAACAGAAAACGTAAGACCTTAAGTATATATCGCTGCCCTGGGGATTTTTTTTTTTCAATTACATCTACCAAAAATGGTTTGTTGGGCAAGTTTTAATGCTACAATGAACGTAAAATATATTAGTCACACTAACAACACTGTAGCAAGAACAGCTTTCAGCATTTATTTTTTATGGAACTGTCTTCTTCGCACACTTGTTGGGATGTCCACAACTCAGAACATATTCCCAAATCCGCTCCTTAGAGGGAGATTAAAAAAAAAAATTTTAAGCACATCTCAAGCATAAATACCATCTCAAATACTGCACTAACAAGTATCATAGAGGCACAGAAGGACTTAATGAATTTGAAGACATCAACTAAACGAGAAAAAAAAAAGATTTTTTGAGCCCTCTTTAGCCTTGCCTTAGGAAGAAAGGATGTATGTAGTCCTCAAATAAGGAGATTACAACATGGAAAGCACATACAGCGTTTTTAGTGTTCATTTTGTTTTATTTATGGCTTGCCTTAGTGGGGTTTGCTTGTTTGTTTTTAAGGGGAAAGGAATTTCAGCTTTCATGTAGAAAACATTTTCCCCTGGGGGAGGCGGGGAAATCACGTAGCATCTAGATTCAGGCAGACCAAGCCTTCTATGTATTAGTGTCTCAGTGTTTTGTGGGTAGCTGGAATAAAGTGTAAACAAGGTTTCTCCATACAATTTTAACAGTGCTATCTTAGACCAGGACATTTACTAGCAAAACACATTTTTATTCAAAGGTTGATTCTTTTAAAACCATAAAGTCACAGCTAATAGCAGGACTTTTAAAACAAGTTGCTGGACAGAAAGATATTCTTTCATTTAAAAAAAAAAAAACCCAAAACTCCTGTTTATTATTGCTTTGGCATTACTAATTCACATTAAAAAGGAAGCATCAGATAAAATGGACTAAAAAGGTGTGTGTATATATTTATGTATGTGTCTGTATTATGTATACATATATAGGTATAAATACACAGACAAAACTGGAAGCCTTCTCCAGGTTGGAAATCCCAGAGGTTTTCATAAAACAACAGCTCTCCAAAGCAAGTCTCAAGTATACTATTTTAAAATGCAATAAAAAGCAGTAAGGCCTTCCTTTCTTACACCTCATCTTATGGAAAAAAAAAAAATCATAACCACAATAAAACGTGAAGTCTAATTAAATAGGGCAAAGGAGAGGGGAATGACAACGCAACATCCCAATTTTTCTTACCGTGGCGGCAGTGCTGTGGAACCGCTTTTAAAAGCACTTTTGAATATCACATCTTGAAGAGAGTGTTCTTCCTGAAGCCTACTCTGAATTAGCTGTAGCATCCTAAAGATTACACAGGTAAGTGTGAAAGCATGCAACAGTAAAACAAAAAATAACATCACAATTAATTATCAGCTTCAGTTGCAGATTATAAATTGAGAAGTTAGCAAGGTTTGTGTCAGTATTAAAGTGTTACAATAAAAACTTTGAGAATTATATTTTATAGAGAGCTTAAAGCTCTGGTGTCCACAGCAGTGTGCTACCAAAACACCAAAACTAGGCAGACTCCCACATAAGCTCCAGGTTCTATTACAAGACTATCAGTATAGCAATCACAGACACAACAAGCTATTCCAGTTCAAATGATAATCAGCGTGTCAATTCAGTTATATGAAAGACTCAAACTCATTTGCTTCCACAAGAATGTGCCAATTTGTTACTGGTTCAGCTTTGACATTAAGATATCAAGCTATCTGTGTTGTGCATCTGAATCCATGACTAAAACTTGTGCTATCAAGCATTCATTTGGAAATATAAGTCGAGTGAGTCCATACATCTTGGCTTGCAACTGCATGACCCAATTTCACAAATAAGTCCAAAGCCAATTTTTTCCATAGCAGAGATCTCAAATCATGAGAAAAGCAAAGTAAATTAGTATCTTTTCACAGGTCGCACTCTTGAATTACAAGCAGAAGCTGTTAGACTCGAGACATCATTCTGTCATGCGACTCTGGTGTACCTCTAAGTCACTTCCAGTACAAACAATACAAACCACAGGCATGCACCTCAGTGCTTTACCTTTGCCATTCTTTTTGTTGCGGGCTGAGATCAAATACTACCTGAAACAAAAATGACACCTGTAATAAAATGTGCAGGAAGCATTGAAGTCCCATCCACGAAACCCAAAAGAGAACTGGGGTGTAGGAAGGAGTGGGGAGTTACAATCAACTTCATGCTTGGTACCACATACTGGAGTTTTTGAAAGGACTTTGCATTGTAAATAATACATTTAGTGTTCAAGCACAGAAATTCCTGTCCCTCCCCCACCCCTGAATTATTCACTTGTTTGCATTTATAACTTCAGCATCATTTCCTAAAGATCTCTTAAGTAAAGTCAGCAGTCTCTGCCCTTCTAGCCTTTGACTAACATGGGCTAGAAGCAGCAGTAAGTGGCAATTTAATTCTAACTGATATAACTGGCATGTATGGGTTTGATGCAAAAAGCAGAGGAGCAACCTTTGAAAGGCAAGAGTCCAGGTGCAGATTGTTTATTTTCTAGGCCTTAACTTCCATCAGCACAAGAATATCACCAGCAACATCTGTGCACCAAATTAAAATCTATATATTGTTAACACTGATGTGCTCCAGACAGTAAATTCAACTGCAGTGCTCAAACCTACCCAGAGCTATGGCCAAAAGATATCAAGTATAGAAAGAGGAAACTTCCTAAGATTATAAACACTGGGGCAACTGCTAGCATGCAGCAGCTACAGCAGCACAGAGATGACTGTCCAGACAAAAGGAAGTGTTTTCCTTAGAACAAACAAACAAACCCAAGCTCCTTCCCCTTCCCAAGCGCATCCTTTCATTCAGCCACCTCTTCCTGCTCACACACACAAGTAGCAATTTGGACAAAACTGTTATAATTTGGAATATGGTTCAGTTATTAGAGAATGCAATAATTACAGCATGAAGTTACATTCTCTAATAGGTTTTCTGTAAATGATAAATTACTTTCACACAGCATAATTACTTCAAAGCTTATTGTATTATGCAAGCAAAACCACTTTAAGAGCATAAGCTTACACAGTTACAGAGCCTTCAGTTCACAATACAGAAATTAAAAGGATACTAACCCAATTTACAGTTTTTAATGCCATTCCATATAATGAGGATATCATGGTGACTATCTGACCCTTTTAGAATCATAGTATTCTTCTAGTTAAAAAGCAGTTACATCAATTCTCTTTTTATGAGAGCTCTGATAGTTCTCCTTCCACATCAAATCCTGTTAGCATTTATCCCTGCAATTTGCACGTGTAAAAATAACTAGCTGTAGAAATCACTAGCTTCTTAAGAAGCACTGATCTGGGAGTCTGCTGTATTCAAACCTGCTGTATTTGCAGAGAGTGAACACGCAGAAATCCCAGTGCTAGCCTTTTTCCCTAGGAGATGCCTGGAGTAAGCACTGCAGACCTCACTCAAGGATCAGACAATACTTGGGGAGGTTCTGTGCAGCCCAATTGCAGGGAAAAAAATACAAGCAAGCAAGCAAGCCAGCCCAACAGTGTTCTGCATCAAGTAAAGAGCAATTCCCTTTTTAAATAAAAGGTAAGAATCAACTTACTGGTTCATAGATTAGCCCATCTGCAGAAGCAACCATTGTTTCTGCTAAATCCAGAACATCAGCCCCCACATCTATTTTAAACAAGGAGAAAAATACTTAGAGTCATACAGATGACCATAAACAAATGAAAAAGTTCAAGCTCAAATGAAGTTTCACAGGACAGCAGTAAACTTTCAGTATAAGTTAGTGTTCCTTGTTAACAAAGTCCAAAACAGAAGAAAAACAAATCTGGCAAGAAGCAGATTACTGGGAGGTAGGGGGAAACCACAGAATCCTGCTTTTCAACCTATCATATCACGGTGTCATCAACTGATGCACAGTGATCAGAAACAAACTTTTCAGATTTGCAACATTTCCTCACTGATGTAACACCTTTAGAGATGTTGTATGAACAACACACACAAGCTTTCTAGGATCTGCTATGCGTAAATATTTCTCCTGTTTCATAAGCACTGAATCCAAAGCAAGGCTAGTCAAAAGGGAGGATAAAGTTTTGTTTATTTCTCAAATTTAAAGAAAAAGAATAAAATCAGCATAAAAAATTCTGAAAATTCTAACTGGAAAATAACTGAAAACGATAAAAATAAATTTTAAGAGTAAGAAGGGATGACCAGTGAATTAATACTTGTGAGATAAACACAAACTGTATGGTACTGATGTACCATACAGTTAATGAAAGGTCTAACCTAGCCAAAAAAGTGAGGCTTGAAGATTTGCTTGCACTTCTGGTAGAAGTAGTATTCCCTTTCTTTCTCAGTCCAGGACAACCAAAACTAGTCCATACAAATAATGGTTCATTACCTAAATGATGTCAAAAGAATAGTAAACATTGTCTTTAAATGGGAAGGCATCCCTATGTTTATGAGGAGGATGAAACTACCCGGTGGTTCCGGTATTGTTAAACAATAGACCC